CGAGGGGCCACCAGCCTTTGGGGGCGCCCTGTCTCGCCGCCTGACGTGCTCCGCCCGGGACCAGACGCTGGAAATGCAGCCCGTGTCCCGAGGGGGGCGTGGCGGGCTCGCGCCCGCGGTGCTCGCGGGGCCCCGCGTCCTCCGTCCCGCGGAGACGATCCTGAGTCACTAGACCAGCGGGGGAGCCTGAGGGCAGAGCTAGGAGCCGGGGGACGAATGGAAGGGGAAAGTGCCGTCAGCCGGTGGGCTCTGCGACAGCGGGAGGGGAAACTCCTGTCGAATGTCGCCTTTTGTTTTCAAAAGGTGCTGAGAGGTGACAATAATGGGGAAACGGGGAGGGAGAGGAAAGAGCCCCGAGACAGTGGCCGTACAAGGGAAGTTGGCCTGGCTCCAGACCTGCGACGCCCCGGGGGCAGTAAGCGTTGCACCCCAGCTGGCACTTGTCGGCTGACTCAGGAGAGAGCGCTCAGTAGGCACCCCGTTGGCTGGGAGCTCGGGCTTGGAACCTGCGCCCCTGAGTCATGCGTGCGCTTCACTCTTCCAGCGCTGACTCCCACGTGCCAAGTGGAGTTTAGGGTGGGGCGGGGAGCGGGAGGAGGGGGGCACAAGACAGACATCCGGCCTGGTCTGCGTTTCTGGGCCCACCCTGGCAAGGCAGAGCCGTGGGAGTTTACCCTTCCTAGCAGGTTAGAGGACCTTATGCTTCTGACCTCCTGCAGTCCAGCCTCATATGTCCACTTGCCTATTAGACAGCCCCCCCCACCCCTCCCTCTCTCTTGGTTGTATAGTTAGCTTTTGCTGCATGAAAAACCACACAAAACCAATTGGTTTAAAACAATAACCCTCATAGTTGCTCACATGTCTGAAGGTCAGTGGGTGGTTATCCTACTCTGGGCCAGGCTCAGCTGATCTTGCCTGGCTCTTTCAAGCATCTGCAGAGGGTTGGCAGGGTGAGGAAGTGGTATCACCCTGCAGCTGTCAGTCAGTTGTGATGGGTCACCCCTTTCCTCATTCAGCAGGCTTGCCAGGCTTGTTCTCATGGTGACTGGAAGTGGAAAAGGCCTCTTGAGACCTAGGCTCAGAGGTGGAACCCATCACCTCTGCTGCTTTCTGTTGGCCAAAGCAAGTCACAATGCCAACTCAAATTCAAGGGGCGGGGAAATACACTCCACTTCTCAGTGGAGGGAGCTGCAAAGACACATTTGAAAGGACTGGGATGCAGGGAGGGGTAGAGAACACACGCACTTTTTGCAATTGACCATGCTAATGAATGTGCTTCCACCCAGTAGCCTTCCTTGACTCCCACCACGCTCACTTCCACATCAATTAATTCCCAAGTTCCATCGTTTCTACTACCTCTGTCTTGGTGTCTCCTCCTATCCACCCCTACTGCTCTCTACACTTCTCACTTGAAGAATCCTGAATATCCTGCAGGAATGGGTTTTGACTAGTTTACTTATTCCCCTTGGGAAAGCTTCCTCTGACCACCGCTGCCATCCACATTGCTATTTCCCGGTTACTCTCAGGGTAACTTTGGCAGCACTCAAGTGCCGCTACTTTCTGGTGGAGTATTTTCCTCATGTCTGTCTCCAGGAGAGCAGGGACTACTCTAGCTTGTGTCTTTATTACCCAGCACATAGTGGTTCCTGGGACTTACAAGGTCTTGAATAAATGTCTGTTCACTGATTGACTTTCTGAATGAACAACGAATGGTGTCTTCAGTGTGAACTGGAAAAGATGGAAATGTAACCATTATCCCAGTACCTTAGTTTTGAGAGCAACTTGCTCTCAGGAGCAAGTGGTTCAGGAACTGTCCTGAGATGAGCTGCTGTTATTTCCGTTATACTGACTTTCAGCTGTTCAGAAGGCAAGCCCCTTCTGTTAAACTTCAGTCTAACTGGAAAGACTTGAAGCAGGGCACCTCCTTTCCTGACTGGGGAAAAGGCGCCATAAAGACAGTGACTATTTACAGAACTTTGCAACTATTAGGCTCCAGGGGTCCTTGAGCAGTTCAGCAATAGGGGTCTGGTTTGTTGTCTCTCAGACTCTTGGCCTTTCCTTCTTGGACACACAATGGCTACTGCTTCACCAAACATCCTGTCCTTAATG